TTCGTACCAGATCTTAACTCCAACCTGCAGAAACGAATACCTTCCTGACGAATCCCGTCCATCCGCGTCATGTTAGTCAATGACGTGTCGTACTGTGTCTTATCAGCAAAAAAACTGCGTGAAATGATTGTGTCGCTAGGGAAAATGATGACCATCAGATCCAGGTTGCTGTTTTGAACTCAGAGTGCAGTTACTGTCTGAAAGAAGGTGCGGAAGCCAACCAATATTAACTAGGTAGATTGAGCAGGCTGAGGACTTGTTTCTGACTAAAATTACGTAATCAATAGTCAGGATGCAAGTTGATACTACAAGCCGATCAGGCTTAATCCGCCGGTTTGACAGTTCTTGACATTTCGCATTAAATTCCTGCATTCGTGCTTTTCTGAGAAAACGTATGCAAGTGTTTCACACGATCCTAGTGTTTCAGACAGACAGTTCCTGATAATGACAGAAGTTTCTGTGGATTGCAAGAAGCAGCTTAAACTGAACAAGACTAAATGCCTTCATGGATAAGTGTTATAGTCAGCAAGAGGGCAAGCATGTCAATATTAGCTTCTTACCTGGACAGTAGTTGTGGGGTAAGTTTGATTTATTTCATTTCACTTCTTGTTTCATGGATCACTCAGTTCCAGTTAAGGTTTGTTAACAGCCGCGAAATAATTGTAAAGTCGGGTAAACTAGTAGTGTAGGCCGGAAGACAGATGCTTCAAGATAAACAATTAGAAATTCTCAAAAACTACTTGACCAATCGACTCTAATCTAGTTGCGGTTATTTAGAAGTATGAAGCCTACGGACTCTCAGAATTTCAAGTAGCTGCATAAAAGTATCGTCGCATTAGCAACAAGTGCCAAAACCTGCATTTTGCCTCGATTTTCGATTTCGTCTAATATGATTAGACAACTTTGAAAAATGCAAAACCAAATGTTTTGACGGATACTCACAAGGACCAAGCAAAAATTCAACATAACTGAACTAAACTAAGATTTAACACTATCCACTTTAATTTTGAATCTGAAAAATCCTAGGAAAGAGAAAGACTTTATGATTCCATTCTGGTGCCATGAGATTCTATGGAGGAAGCTAAAGACTCCCACAAAGCTATGAATATCGAACTTATTAAAATACTTCCAAACCTTTCAATTGTATAAATATTTATTTATTTATTTATTTATTTATATATTTATTTATTTATTTATTTATTTATTTATTTATTTATTTATTTATTTATTTATTTATTTATTTATTTATTTATTTATTTATTTATTTATTTATTTATTTATTTATTTATTTATTTATTTATTTATTTATTTATTTATTTATTTATTTATTTATTTATTTATTTATTGATTTATTTATTTATTTATTTATTTATTTATTTATTTACACGACCAACAGATAAACCAATTATTGGTGGGAGAACAGAAGTTAACATAGTACAAACCTGAAGTAATTAATATTTTGTGTAATTTGGTGATCTTAAATTTATTGACGATAGAATTCAACTAAAGGATACCTCTCAGTCCACTCAGGCAACGAAGTCGGATATGCTGCAACATGTTGATCCTATTGCTGAAAACCTCCAACTCTCTGCAATCAAGACCATAAAGAATGGCGGACCATTGATTGGTTGTACATCCAGTAACGAGAGAATGAAGTTGAAACAAATAACTGCTGAAAAACTCTCGGATAAATATGAAATTAGAGATGCTATACACTTTTGCCCCAAAATAAGGATCGCAGGAATGACAGAGAAGTCCAGTGAAGAGAAAATCATTAGTCACATCACTTCTCAGAATAAGGACATTTTTTTTTTTTTTTTGGCATTAGAACTAGGTGTTCATGCAGCCAGTCACTAAGCATTATATGAATGATGGATCATCGGTTTGATTTTGGATTCATGTTTTTCCAAACTGGAAGTCTACTGTTATAGTGGGATGATGCTAGGGATCTTCACAGAGGACACTTCTTCACGCCTCAGGGGTCGGTCAGGGCGACTTCTTACACGTGCCCAGGTAGACCACGGTAAGAGGAGGGATATAACAAATAGGGAGGAAACAAGGGTATGTGAGGTGATTATAGGTTTACATTGATTGAATGGATAAATTCAGCCAGGCTGTCGTAGATCTCCTTTCTATTTAGTGATAATAAATGTATAAGGATAAAAGGAGTCAGTACATTTAAGTCTATTACTCTGTTTATTAGTCGCAGAGATTGATTCCTATTGTTCTGACAACCGAAGAATAGGTGGTCGAGATTTCCAATTTCATTACATCTTGTGCATAGGTCAGTGTCCACTACGCCAATCCGATTTAGATGCTCTGGGTAACATGCGTGTCCAAATCTGATCCTTATCAGTGTCGTTAAGGTTTTTCTGTTGTATTTGTATTTACTAAACCAGGTGTATCTAGGGATTTCGGGTTGTATTAATACATATCTATTTATTCTTGAGTTTTGCAAATGAATATATTCATCTATGGGAAGAAGGTGGTCCAAGATTTCTCCAGAAGTAATGCTTTCCCTAGCCAATCTATCAACCCTCTCATTGAGCTTAATTCCGACATGGGATTTTACCCATACCAACTTTATTTTGTAGATTTTGGCATTTAGTTTATGAAGGGACTGCTTTATTTTCAAGATGTATGGGTTGAATGAATGAATCTTGAATTTTAGAGGCATCCCGGCCACCATAAGGAGCCAGTGCATAGGCCGCTTAAGCGGGCCCTTATGCACCTCTACAATACTTAAATCACAAGCCTCGCCCTTTTAGCGAAGTTGAGAATCGCCTTGAGTCCAAGCTCCTTTACGTCCTGAGGGTCCAAAGTAATGGACCCCAGTATAGTCTGCCTATAGTAGCTCAGAGCTTCACAGCGACACAAAACGTGCGCCAAGGTCTCTTCCTCTACTCCGCAGCGTTCGCACAAGGGATCCTCAGCCACCCCCATCACGTGCAGGTGCCGCCTTAACGTGTTATGGCCAGACAACAGTCCCACCAGCAACCTTAGGTTGGCTCTACCCAGAGATAGGCAGAAGCGTCCATCCTTAGCACTGGGCCCTTCAATGAGCTCTCGTGCCTGGCGGAGATGTCTAGAGATACTTCTCCATTTCTGAGAGTGTTGTCTTGCAACCCACTTCTCCATTTTCCTCCTAGCTTTATGCGCGGTTACTCCTAGAGCTGGCTCAGGACCAACGAGCTTGCTGGCTGATCCTGTTTTCGCCAGAGTGTCCGCCGTCTCATTGCCCCTTATCCCGGCGTGCCCCGGTACCCATATTAACGATACCGGATGCCTCGCTGCGAGGCAATCCAGAGCCTCCCTGCATTGCAATACAAGACTCGAAGTAATCTTACATGCAGTGGCGGCTCGTGAGGTAGTGCCACGGTGCCATGGCACTACCTTGTCTTCTTCAAAAAGAATATTTTTTTCAATCTTCAATCTTTTACTTTATTTTCTGCTTTTTCATTTTTTTTTTTGGTATAAATTATATGAAGTGACAACACTGACAACGTGACAACACCGCAAGCACCCGAACCACGCGAGACGGAAAGCACGCCTTGACCTTGACGTCATCAACTTGTGCCAATTTTGGGCCGGCCCAATTAAAAAGAGAGAAATTTTACTAGCATCGCATACGAGCGACAGAGATAACGCTACCCTACACATTTTTATATGAGGTGAATAGCGAAGGACAAGTATAATTTGTGCCAGGCACATCATCAGTCGTAATTCGTTATCAAGTGATATCGGCGGTGTTTTTGTTGGTCGGTCGTTTCGTTATGATTACGTCTAGTGCTGATTTCGGTCTTTTTTTACCTGAAAAGTGAAAAATACCTTTTTTGTTTTAGTACGTCTAGTGTTAATGAACTGCTCTGTTTTGTGATCATATTTTTTACTGTTTTATTAAAACTAGTGAAAATGAATAAAATCGGGATATTAAAAAACTCATTTAGTGGTTTTTCGCTGGATCAAAACTGCAAATTAAAGAATTAGGACGGCCAATACCCGATTTAAAAATTGAGAAACAAAGTGGTAGCGGACAAAAATTGCGCTGTCGCAAATTTAATAAAAATGTGTACGATAAAAACAGCTGGATATGTGGTTGTGAAGAAACGAATAAACTATTTTGTTTTGTATGTGTTCTATTTGGAGGTGACGAGACTTGGTCAAAAAAAGGTACAGACGATCTTATACATATATGGGATAAAATGAAGACCCACGAAAAATCTAAAGTCCATATGAATAATGTTTTTAGCTTTTCTATTCTTGGTAAATTAAATATAAGGACTCAACTCAATTCGGCTTATCGCAATGATCTAATTAAACATAATAATCAAGTGGATAAGAATCGATATGTATTGAATAAAATTATTAATTGTATAAGGTTTTGTGGAGCATTTGAGTTAGCCTTAAGGGGTCACGATGAAAAGGAAAATTCGGAAAACAGAGGCATATTTAAGGAGCTGGTGAATTTTAGCGCCGAATTAGACAACGAATTGAAAGTCCATATTCAAAGTGCCAAACTTTTCAAGGGTACCTCAAAAACAACTCAAAACGAGCTTCTTGAGTGCATGCTAGATGTTTATCATGAAGAAGTTAAGAAGGAGAATGCAAATTCTCCTTTTGTTGCAGTAATTGCCGATGAAACGACTGACGTAGCCTGTGAATTTCAGTTAGTTATTACTTTCAGATATTTGTGTAAAGGACAACCAGTTGAGAGATTTTGGAGATTTTACGTCCCCGACGGACACGATGCCAAATCAATCGCTGCATGCGTTTTAAATGTTGTAAATCCATTACTAGATCAAAATCCAAACAAATTAATAGCTCAAAGCTATCCTCCTCAGACCCAGGGTATCATATATGATACTCGTGAAAATTATTTTTTATCTCGCGCTTAGACCGCATAAATTTGTTCGGTCCTAAGAGTATCACATGCGATACACAGTCAAGGCATGAGTAGAATTTATTTCGCGCTCGTTTTGCTCAGTGCGTCGACAGTGGGCGTTTGTTTACATGTTGATGTGGTTGTGTGAAACACGTGGGGATGGCTTTTAATGAAAATAGACGTAAGTACAATTCATTCCTGAATATATTTGGTTCTAAATAGTTGTTATAATGTTCCTTAATGTAAGTATGCTATTTTATTGCGGTGAACGTTCTCGCTAAAGGTGCCGACTAGACGAAATAGAAGAAGTATCGCACGTGATACTTTGGGTCTCTAGCAATACAATTAAAAAAAACAAGAAAAAGATAGATGAAGATTACTTTATAGAAATTGTATTGTTTCAGGCCCTTTGACTGACAAAGAGATTCAGGAATTGGCTGATGCTATAGATCTAAATAACTCTGATATAGCTGAAGAACTTCTTAGTGAAGATGACCTTGATGGTTATAACCTTGAGGAGGATTTGTTGGACGAGCAAGCTTTTGATGACCAAGACAATCCAGAGCCCGATGATGGTTTCGATTCTGAAGATGACCTGCCCCTAGCCAGTTTAATTCCATCACATTCCAAAAAGTGGATTCGCGATAAAGTCTTTGTTCCGCCGAACCACATGGATTCTATAAATTACAGCGACCAAGTTGGAAGACCTTCTGAATATTTTCAAAAATATATCAGTGATGACTTCTTTAAAAGTGTTTCTGAACTTACAAATATGAGGGAAGTAAGCAAAACAGGACATTCATTGGATACTACTGCTAGCGAGATTAGAAAATTATTTGGCTGTACCATGCTAATAGGAATTTATTCACTACCACGTTTGCGGATGTTTTGGGCTAACAGCACTAGGGTACCCATAGTGTCGGATAACATTACAAGAACCAGGAAGATATAGAATCTGAAGAAGAAGTTCAACCAGGGAACAAACGATGAAGCGTCCAACCCATTCCCGACAAGAGATGCAGGCTTCAGGGAAATACACATTTGGTAGAATTTATGAAAGACAAACAGAAATCTCGATCCAAATGCCGTTTGCCTACGTGCGATAAACTAACTTTTGCAAAATGTAAATCTTGTGGAGTGTATTTATGTTGTAGCGTCGAAAGAAACTGTTTTTCAACTTTTCACAAATAGCTGACATTTTTTTCATTTGCTTGGCCATTTTTTTTTGTATGCCTAGAGACCCAAAGTATCCTTTGTGATACCTGATTTTTTTCAAAATGGGAATAAAATTTTTGAAAAATACATTGACTCTTGGCTTTTGTATGTCCAAACTACCACCTGACTAAAAAATCAATAATCGTTTAGAAGTAGAATTGCTTTGGGTCTGAAGAGGCTATGATGGTGCGTCTCTTATGAGTGGTGAATTGAATGGCGTTCAAAAAATTATTAAGGAAACTTATCCACTTGCAAATTATGTTCATTGCTATGCACACCAGTTAAATCTAATTATGACAAGCGCATGCTCTGTCAATAAGCAGGCTAGAATATTTTTCCATAATTTATCTGGATTGTGCTCTTTTTTTTCGACGTCTCCTCAAAGAACAAAAATTTTGGATGAAATAGTTAATTGCAGATTGCCAAGATCTTCCCAAACACGTTGGAATTTTCAGTCATGAGGTGTTCATACAGTTTATGAAAATAGGAAAGACCTGATTGAAGTTATGGACAATATAGAAAGTACTTCACGCGATTCTTCGTCGATTAATCAAGCCAGTGGGTACAAATTAAAGCTGCAAGATACAAATTTTGTATTTTGGCTAAGTATATTCCATAAAATAATGCCACATGTTGAAATTGTCTTTAACCAATTACAAAAAGTATGCACCGATTCTGTTAAGGTCAAAAATGATTTAGAGAATTTTGAAGCAGCAATTCAAACTATACGAGAACAAATGGATAGCATTATTGACGAGATTGAACGAGTGCAGAGAGAAACTGATGAACCGGCAAGAAAAAAAAGGCAAGTTGAAGAAGGCAGCAAAAAACGGGAAGCGTTAGAAATATGCGATGCAGTATTATCGCAAATAAGAACAAGATTTAACTTTTCTGGACATTTAGTTGCTTCTAATTTATTTGTGTCTGAAAAGTTTTCTGTTTATAAACATCAGTTTCCTGAAGCACATTTAAATGACACATGCACACAATTTCATTTTTAGACAAAAACAGGCTTAAAACTGAGTTACAAGTATTATATCAGAGAGAAGAATTGAGAACTACTTCTGGAGCTGTTCCACTATCCATTTTATTGAACGAGGAAGGATTAAATTGTACGTTTCAAGAAACTCTTAAGCTCTTAAGTATTTTAATCACTATACCGATGTCAACATCTGAAGCAGAACGCTCTTTTTCAATGCTGAAACGGATTAAAACTTTCCTCAGAAACACAATGAAGGAAGAAAGGCTTAGTGCTTTAGGAATGCTGTCTGCAGAAAAACATTTTGTTAGTGGCATTGAAAATTTTAATAATAAGGTAATCGAAAACTTTGCTACCAAAAAAGAAAGAAGAATGGACTTCATGTATAGAAAACTTTGAAGTTATAGGTACTTCTCCACACTTGTTTTATAATTTGGTGCGCGTGTGTAAATAGTTTTATTTTTGATTTTTTTTTGGACATATAGATTTATTGAACCTCAAGAACTTTGACCACTAACTATCAGGGGTAAGTTATAAGTTATTCTTTACAATTTTGAATCGATTCAAAATTATGGCTTCCATTCTGGCACTACCTCACTGAATTGGCACGAGCCGCCACTGCTTACATGCACTTAGTGCTTTCATTGCAGCCTGGCTGTCGGATAAGATTGTTATTCTTCTCCTAGGCCCACCCTCCTCCAGAATGTGAGATACACAAGCCAGAATCGCAAAGATTTCCGCCTGGAAAATGGTGGTGTACTCACCGAGAGGCAGAGATAGCCTAGTTCTAGGTCCAGAGACCCCAGCACCTGAGCCCTCTTCGGTGACCGAGCCGTCCGTGTACCAGACCTGCCCGCTCACTTCGGAGAGTCCTCGGCTACCGGCGTCCCACTCCTCCCTCGTTGGGTACTCCACAATGAACTTGCGGTTGAAGCGATATTTAGGGGTAATACGATCACCCCTGCTTAGAAGGACGGGGTCCTCCCTTTCTAATTCGACTAATATGGCAGTATGCCCCTTGACCGGATTCAAGAAAGCCCAGCTGCCTTGACTCCACAGTCGATGAGCGACTACTCTCGCTTCACCGCGGATCACCAGATCCAACGGTGGGAGATCCAACAGAGCTTCCATTGCACTCAATGGCGTTGTTCGCACTGCGCTTGTAATGCTAATACAGGCCAAACGCTGAATTTTATTGAGTTTGGCCTTAGTTGACTCAGTTCTAATGCAAGGCCACCAGACCAGGGAGCCGTACAAGAGAGATGGACGTACTATCGTCGTGTAGAGCCAGTATACCACTTTGGGTTTAAGCCCCCACCTTACACCGACAACACGTCTACAAGCCCACATCGAATTGCGAGCCTTGCTAACCTTGTGTTCCACATGCTCTCTCCAGTTCAGTTTGCAGTCCAGGATAATTCCCAGATATTTCACTGACTGGGACAAAACTAATCTAGTCCCAAAGAAGGTAGGCATGACCAGTCCGTCAAGCCTTCTTCTCCTAGTGAATAGGATCAGCTCGGTCTTTTCAGCATTAACAGAAAGATCGACTTCCCTACACCACGATTCCACGGAGCGCAGAGCGCCCTGCATAATTTCCGAGACTGTTCTACAAAAACGCCCCCTAACCACTATGCTTACGTCATCAGCATAGGCTTGCACGTAGACACCCATACTGTTGAGCCTAACGAGCAGTTCGTTCACCACGATACACCACAGTAGGGGTGACAGAACTCCACCCTGAGGGCAGCCTCTAGCTACGTTCACGCTGCAGCTTACGTTATTCAGCATAGCTGTTGTTACCCGACCCTCCAGAGTAGAGAGGACCCAATCTATTAGGATTGATCCAACCCCGTGTCTAACCAAGGCCTGTCTGATAGAGTCGGTTGTGGTGCAATTAAATGCACCTTCAATATCTAAGAAGGTCACGAGTGCCACTTCTCGCTGATCTAGGGTCTTCTCAGCCTCCCGACCAGATTGTGTAAGGCCAGATCAGTCGATTTTCCAGCTTGGTATGCAAACTGATTTGCATGAATGACACACCTTTCCAGTGGGCCATCCCTTAGGTATCTATCAACTATCCTTTCCAGGGTCTTAAGCACAAAAGATGAAAGAGTAATCGGTCGAAAATCCTTCGGGCCAGTATATCTATCTCTGCCCGGTTTAGGAATGAATACCACTTTAGCCTGCCGCCAACTTCTAGGTGTGAAGCCCGTGGCCACACATGCTCGAAACACATTCAACAGGTAAGGAACAACCGAAATCCGTCCCTGCTGTAACATGGCCGGAAATACGCCGTCCAGACCTGGACTTTTGTATGGGGCAAACGAATCTACTGCCCATACCGTCCTTTCGAAGGTGACAATCTCCCTTGCCGTGCGCCAGTCCTCCCTTGAGGGCCTGCGCAACTGCATGCACTCTGTGATTGATCGCGCTACTGTGGAACCGGGAAAGTGCGTATCCATCAGAAGCCTCAGAGTATCTTCCTCGGAAGTAGTGTTCCCCCCCGAGGGATCATGCAGAGATCCCAATCTTGCTTTAATGTCAGATGTATGGGTTAATATAAGGGTTATTTATGTCGACTGGCTTAGCTATACTTTCAAGACTGACAGGCTGTCTGATATTATAATCCCTTTGATAATTACCTTGGAATCTAAGTATTCCAAGGCTTTGAGAATAGCAATGGCTTCAGCTGTGAATATAGATTTCAGACTGTTCAATTTGAGTTTTGATGAATGTCCACTGGGTTGTGCAATAAAGGCACAACCTGTTCCTTTGCTGTCCTTAGAGGCGTCAGTATAGATTTTAACGTATTCTGGATAAGGATTCTACAGTTCTCTAAGACAGTTTTCTTCGGTAGAGGGATGTAGTTTGGTAAAATTAAGTTGTGTTCTCGAGGGAAATGAAAAATTCTTGAGAATTCCGGGATGAATGGTATTTAGATAATTATCTATCTCTATTCTGGATTCCTAAATGCTTCACAAAGGGGGGGTGATTGTTTTTTCTGCCAATATTTATTGGTGAGGTCATGAGAGTTTAACGTGCTTATTTTTTTATTATATGGTCTTGCTTTACTTCTGACTTGATAAGTTGTTTTTTTTGACAATAATTGTCTCCTTAGCTGAAGAGGTGGTTCAAGGCATTCTACTCTGAGGGGTTCAATTGGAGTTGACCTCATTGCGCCCAAACAAAGTCTCAATGCACTGTTTTGTAGTGTATCCAATTTTTGTAAGGCTTTATGACTAGCAGAACCATACAAAGTGCATCCATAATCGATGATCGATCTGATGTATGAGCGATAGAATGTTAACGCTGTATCAGTATCTGCTCCCAACCAGTACGTCGAATCATCTTCAGGAAATTAATACCTTTTGACACTTCGTAACTATTTTGTCAATGAAAGGGTACCATGTTAGTTTATGGTCAAGAACAACTCCAAGGTACTCCACTGTTTCTGTTACTGGAAATCGAGAGCCCCTGATTCTATATCACCTGTTGGAGGATGTTGTGCCGTGAGAAGAATACTATGGATGATTTGTGGTGGTGATAGGCTGAATCCCAATGTGTTCATTTGACTTGTTATCGAAGTAATAGCGCTTAATAGAGATTCTTTGCATGATTGGAATCCTTTTTTATCTAGGTAAACGACAAAGTCATCAGCATACTGTACGAGATTGTATGTTGGGTTAACTACGTGGATATCTCTAGTAATATTGTTAAACAGGACTGGTGATAAAAACTGATCCCTGAGGAAGGCCTACTGATACTTCTCTAGGGCCCAGAAGTGAGTTGGTTTTGGATCTGAGAAATATTGTTCTGTTTAGAAAGAGCTTTATGATAGTCCGACAACTATTACTTGGAACCAGAATATCTTCTAACTTGTCTTTTAGCATGAACAGGTCGACGCAGTCATATGCTCCTTGACGTCTAAAAATGCAGCTCCCAGGTATTCATTCCTTGAGAAGCTAGTTTTGGATATCTGTAACTACATTCCCCTACAGCATCTAAGGTACCAATCCTTTTTTGAAATCAAATTGTGACTTCGGGACGTAAATTTATTGCGTAGAGAACCATTCTAGTCTGTACTT